CGGCCTTCGTCTCTAACTACCTATTTGAACTATCGGCGCGAAGGAGAGGGAACCTCAGCTCTCGCTACGACAAAAGGCTTTGATCTAACAACGTTAGATGGCGCTACTTATTCTAATTTCTTACAAACTGAACTCTCCAGCATTAGATAGCTTTGGGTTGTCATGAATCACATAATAGTAGTAGATGGTGATGTCTGTAACTTATTCCTATTCTAGGGAAATGACTCAATAAGTATTATCGGAAACACCCTCTGTTTTGCTCTACTCAGTTTCTTCTTTTGCCGTTGTTTGATCCTGGCGACGCTACAGATGTTGACAGAGGGTGGGACCCGATTGACTACAATACGATTAGACACAGATTGTAATGATTGGTTCGACCTAGTAATTCACTAGATAATTCTTTTCATCGGTTGGTTGTGTCCAATCGTATCGTGGTCAATCGGGACGCTCCCGTTTGACAGACACTTATGGCTCCTGCACACAGAACGCGGTAATACTTGCAGCGCGACAGAAGTTCGCACGACAGCCAATCAATATGCTGCTTTCTGTAATAACCTTCTAGCTCTTACGAAAAAACAACATATTGATTGGCGGACTTCCGCCGCGCGGAAGCAAGCATTACTGCGCCCTGTGTGCAGGAGCCATTAGAATCGCCGCTAGCAGTCCATGGTTATATAGTCAAAGGTTTTGACACCGTGATATATAACCTGTCACAATTCTACGCCTCTTTATTCTCCCGTCCGACAATGGGTGCTTTCCAGTTGCGTACACTGTGTTATATAAAACCAGCTTATTGGTTGCATATTATCTTACAAGATATTTTAGATAATATGTGACCAATAAATTGGTTTTGCGTACGTATGTGTCAAGATGTGTTAAACAATTGGGAAACATCCAATGATATTAACCTTAAGAAATGAATTTATGGATCTTAGGAATTTTTGAACGTTGCCAACTTGGAACGCTGTCCCCTCTTTTTTATAGATTTTGTCCGCTTACCTCTTCGATACTACCTAGTAGGGGTGCGTTCGAAAACATCACCCGTGTGTATTTTGTCATACTCAGATCGTTCGAAAACCCCTAGTGGGCACACTGACCATGCGACCATGGCCGTTCGAAAACCGTACTCCGTGGACCACTCGTGTGATTTTTCTCCACTCTCTTTTGCGCGGTGTGAATCGGTGGAGATGGTGGAGAGTGCGCAAAGAGTGCAATACAGTATAAAATTACTAAATTATTTATGGTTTTTTGTTCTTCGAAACATTCGTACAACCATTAGCCATCACGGTAAGATAAAAAATTTAAATACAGCAGTGTAGGTTAGCCAGGTTTAGGTTTATTTCTATAGTGATGTATATTGTCTTTAATAAGTCAGAATATTGTCTTTAAATATAAATAAAGCTAATTAAGCTTTTTGTATTTTATAGGTTCTGAAATTTTCTTACGAGATACGAGGCACGTTAAAAATCACGAATCAGTAACAATTTGTGAAAAAAAAATGGAAAATTTAATCCCGGGTCGTCATATTTTATGCATGGATATTTAAAAAAATAGACAAAAGGATGACAAGGGAAATGTCTATATATACGATGTTAAAGGTAAGGAGTAATAAATAAGTTTATAAATTTCCTTAGGCCTGGTGCCCACGATGCTAGAAATCGATCCGAGTTCTCGGACCGAGAAATATATAGCCAATTAACTTTCCAGATAACTAAATTATAAATTAGTAATTACTAAATTAATTAATTAATTACTAAATTTATTAATTTATTATTAATTATTTTGCTGAGAAGCAATTATAGCTAATGTC